CTTCAGTCCTTCGAACCTGAAGGTATAAAATTCAAAAAAAAAAAAAATACAAAACTTTTGGGTTCCCAATTGAGCGTCAGCCTGTCAGGCTCGAAATTGGTGGTTCCCAACCAATTTGGTAACCCAAAAGATTTGTATTTGATGAAGGGTAATTTGGCCCGCTTAGTGAAAATGGGACACGTGGACACGATCTGACTAAGAGATGACAGCTCAGTTTGGCAAGCCTAGTTCGCAATAATTGAGCTCGGGTATTCGATTACCTCAACATAGAGTCACCTCGACATAGAGTCACCTTGGCATAGGATCACCTTGGCATTCAATCCAGTTCGGAACTAAAGAACCGAAGTAACAGCTCGGGACTAACAACCCGAATCAGCACGTAACCAACTCCAGAGGTCTCTCCAACGGATCCCGAATCTCTCGAGATCACGATGAGCTAACTGATCCCGACTTTTCCGAGATCACGATGAGAACTCATCCCAGTTCCACCAGAGTCGGAAGTGGAATGATAAGCCTTATCTATATACTGCTCCTTCGGAAGCGGAACGAATTCTATCTCCACATCCCGGAGGTCCTAGAGCTCTTTCGTGAGTCCCACGACTACTCTAGTATATAAAGGCACCTACCCTAATGACACAAGCTACGCGTGATTTTTCTACTCTCTAGCTTCTAGCTCTCTAAGCTCTCAAAACTTTTAGCTCGCATCACAATTTACTGACTTAAGCATCGGAGCAACCTCACCGGGTTAGCCACCCCAGGTTCTCTGATCCACTGTCTTGTAGACTCACCTAGCTCGTCGCTCGACTGGAAGCCAGATCATTCTCCAGCAGGAATTAGTTAGATCGCGCTACATCAATTGGCGTTGTCTGTGGGAAACGCTACAAAAGGCTATTTTCTCACCCGAATATCTAAGCCTCAAGTAATAACATCTTCAAGCAACAACAACAACGCTTGGTCGAAAGAACCCCCTAGGGGGGGCAGAAGCAAAATGATTAGCCTAGATGAGTTCACACAATCTTGCCCTGACAGAATCTCCCTAACTGTGAGGCCACCCCCATATGCCGAGCTCTACGTGCTCTCTACGAGAGCTGACGGCCAATAGAATGTGAGCCCACCCCACAGGTTGAGCCCTCCATGGTTCCCGTGGGAGTTGATAGCCAACAAACTGTGAGGTCGCATCGCAGATCGAGCCCTCCATGCTTTACAAGGGAGTTGATGGCCACCGGGTTGTGGAACCGCCCTCGCAGGTCAGTCCTGCCGAGGTGATGAGGAGTTTGTAGGCTGAGGTGCTGAGAGCAAAACTAGACTGTCAAAATTCTGACGACCTGGAGACCTAGAGACCTGCTTCCGAACTAGCGACCTGCTTCCGCCAACCTGGCGACCTGCTTCCGTCGACCTGGCGACCTAGAGACCTGCCTCCGAACTGGCGACCTGCTTCCGCCGACTTGGCGACACACGTAATCAGCCTGGACGAGCCTTGTCAGCTCAGTTCACGAGGTCGCACCTATAGGTCGAGCCCTTTGTGGCTCCCGCAGGAGTCGGCGGCCAACAGACTACAATCGCCGTTGCGGGTTGATCCTTTCAAGGTTCCCGTGCGAGCTGGCAACCGTGGCACCGACCCGCTATTTAAATTCCAACATCAACGCACATATCACAAGGGAAACCAAACTGCCTTCAGCATCAAGGACCCCTAAGCCGACATCAAAATATGTTGGTAACAGGCCTAAGGGCCTACAACGAAGCACAAATCTACTCCCTTCGCTGAGCTGATCTCAGCTCGGGAGTGGGGGGCAATTGATGAGGGCAGATTTGGCCCTCCACTAACATCATGACACATGGCATCTCGGAACAACTAGGTGACACCCAAAACCACCTGGGCGACAACTTGCCTTAGCAAAAATGATGGAGTTCCAGCTAGCGATCTGGCACTGTCGCCGA